GTCCCAGGCTTACCTGCCCCGTCTGGACCTTGTCCGCCTCCACCAGCTTCCAGGCCTCCTCCTTGGCTCCGGCCTTCTGCGGGTCAGCGGTGCTGGCCTGGGGCCGGCCCCCGTCCCCRCTGTACGAGGAGGAGCTGCTCAGCTGCCTGGGGAAGCAAGGCACGGGCGTCCACCCTGGGCCAGCGCCGGGCCCCCAGGCGGGGACGTTCCGGCAAACGTGTAGATGACCACTGTGCACGTGCAGGCTCCTCGTGCCACTGCCCGGGCTGTGGTCCTCAGGGACAGGGAGTGAGCGYTGGCCTGTGCCCTTGGGAATGGAGTCACCCATCCGTGCTGTGAGCGGGTCACTTCTGGGTGGTCTGCTCCGAGCCACTCTGGCCAGGCCTCCCAAGGGCGCCCTGCCTCTCGGCCCAGGGGCTCTGCACAGCCTGGGGTCTGCGCCAACAGGAAGGCCATCAGCAGACACCACCCCTGGCCTTGACCGCCACCGTGAGCCCAGCCACCGTGAGCCCAGCCACTGTGTATCCTTGTCCCTTCCCCTGCACCGACTCAGTAGTAACAGAGTGGACCGTGGGACACTTGGTCTTCCCCCAGCTGCTCCGGGTGGAGGGGAGGACGGGGCCCGTCCAGAGTTGCCAAGGAGACCCTCCCCCCGTCCCCTGGGTTCCAGAGGCCTCCTGTCCTGGGGGCTGCTTCTCCAGGGCCTCCCGGACCCCCTCCCACAGGCCTGCCGGGCCCGGGGGTCAGGAGGTCAGTGGGAGGGAGGCCGACCTCCTCTGTCCCGGCCGACAGGTGCCGACAGGTGCCAGCAGGTGCCCGGGCACGGGCCGTCTGTTCAGTTCTGTTCGGGAAAAGCTGAGAAACTCCGGCTACTTGTAAGAAACCAGAGGGGCCGAGCCAACGCAGAGGGGGCGCGGGCAGCAGGACCTCCAGTCCTCCCTCCTCCTGCTTGTCACCTGCAGGAGCCACGTGCCACCTGTGGGCAGGGTCTGGCCGAGTCATCCCTGTGCCCAGCACTGGTCCCGGACAGGAGGCCCGGGGGTGGCCGGTCCCCAGCACCAGCTCCCTGTCCAGCCCAGGGCGGGGTGGAAGCCTCCCCCGCCCAGGAGGCCTGTCCCAAGATCTCTGGCCGAGGCCAGCAGGTGGGGTCGGCCCCTGGTCAGCAGCCGGCCTAGGCTCTTGGCCAGCAGCAGAGGAAGGACGGGGAGGGGCCGTGCGGGGCCCATTGGGGACACAGCACCTTCAGGGAGCCGGAACCTCCTGCTTGGTGACCCAGAACCTCCCAGCCACGCTCCTCGGACAGGGGCGCTCCAGACCTCCCGTCCTCAGGCCCGACCAGGAGGTGACAGTGACAGCAGAAGCACCGTCTCCGAGTACCCCCCGGGGCCAGCACCAGGCCAGGCTCCCCGTCCTCTGCCCGTTCCCAGGCCGACCACAGCTCCTCAAGCCTCTTGCAGGAGGCCTGACGTCACCCCTGGGGAAACTTGGCTGGGCCCGGGCCAAGTTCAAGGTCAGCTTCTCTCCCGCCACGTGACTGGGGGCAGCTCTCATGCCATGGGGAGACGAGGTCTGTCCCCACCTCTGGGTCAGAGACCCTGCGGGGCCGCAGGGCACCAGGCGACCCGAGCCAAGACCCTCGCCCAGTGCCAAGGAGGGGACCCAACATCAGACGTGGGGACAGACAGTTCCGCCACGAGGCCCGGGGGAGCCGTGCCGCGGCAGGAAGAGCAGCAGGCGGGGCGGAGGCCTCTGCTTGGGAAAGCAAGGCCCCGGGGCTGAGGGGAAGGCCAAGGGCACAGGCAGAGCAGCTGGCCCTGTCCTGTCTCTCTCCCTGGGCAGGCAGGACAGAGGGTCCCCTGGAGCACACGGGACGGCGACCCCGCTCACCTCTGCACCTGCTTCCCCGCGGCRGCCGGCACCAGCGTCCCGTTCTCCATTGGCTTCGGCTCCTTCCCTGGACCACTGCTGCCCGTCAGGCCTGGCAGGAGGCAGAAAACGGGCACAGCTGGGACTTCGAGAGCAGGAGAAGGTGACAGCAAAAGACAGACCACTGGCGGCTTCGGCCGGGAGACCACAGGTGGCCTGTCCCCTGGGAAGCTGGGGGCTCTGTGAGGCACAAAGCACTGCCCCACCCTGAGCCAGGCCCCGGGGCAGGGACGGTGCCTGGCCACTCGTGGAAGGCCCCTCAGCAGGCCCCTGGGCTGGCACCGTGAGACCCAGCCCRGTACCATTGGGCTCAGCGGGTGGGTGGGGCAGAGCCTCGGGGGAAGGCAGAGTCCTGTGGTCCCCTGAGCGCCCCAATAAATGACCAGTGTGACGGGGTGCCAGCCACCAGGCAGAGCCCTGCAGTGTGGGAGTCCCCCCTTTGGTGGCCAGGCCCAGGAGACCCCAGGGTCAGTGAGGAGGAGGCCCTTCAGTACGTCCACACCAACCAGGCCACCGTGGGGTGCGCCAGGGAGGAGAGACAGACAGACAGACAGAACACAGCRCTGTTCAAGGCCTGGTCTCAGACAGATGGGAGGGGACCCAGGAGAGAGGTTCCAACTGGGGACACAGCCAGCAGCACGCCAGGGTGACCCCAGGAACTTGCTGGGACGTGGACAAGTGCAGAATGCAAACCCCAGGCCAAGGGGACAGCCACAGGGGCCACAGGACGGAAGGGCAGAGGGCAGGCGGCCCCTGGCCCGGGGAGCTCTCCACCGCCCGGGACAGCGGGGGTCTGCGTCTGGCTGTGAGTGACTCACGRGGCGGGGGGGGGGGGCAGTTACAAATGAACTGCTGCCCCTGGGCCCAGCCGTGTCCAGGGCGCTGAGGTCCAGCACAGTCGGGTAACGGGGACAAAGGGACGTGCTCTCAGTAACTGGCTGTGCACTCTGAGGAGGCGGGAGACCTCTCTGGGCCTCAACTAGCTCATCTGCGAAGCCGGAGGAGCGGCCCACCTGGGAAGCGGGGCACTGACCAGGCTCACAGGTGGCCCTGGGTGCAGGCGGCACGCCGTGGGCGAGGCTGCTGGGGCACCTGAGGCCAAGGGCGCTCATGACCGCGTTGGGCAGACGATGCCAGGCACAGCCAGGACAGAGAAGCAAAGGGTTAACCGTTTCCTTGATGCCAGTTTTGTTTTTCTAATTGAAGAAACAACCGCAGAAACCCCCAAAAGCCAAACAGACACGCCATGCAGGAAGAAGCGTGACACCAAGCAGGACTTCCCACACAGCTGGCGAGCCCTAGAGCCGCAGGCTGCTCCCCGCCCCACGGCCAAGCCCGGGCGGAGCGGAGCGGAGCGGCCACCGGCCCAGACGGCATGCAGCCCAGGCCGGCCAGCCTGCGAGCAGCGCCCGCCCCGCGGGCACACTGACCTCCCTCCTCCTGGTCCACTACTTTGCCACCTGGAAGTCACAAGACCCAAGAAAGTGTTAGGAACCAGGCCAGGGCTCCGCCACGCCCTCACTGAGATGCCCAAGGGGACAGAGTGACGGTCTCCTGAGAGGACGGGTGTGCGCCTCGGTTCCCCTCCCACACAGCCTGAGTGACGGCTGGCAAAGGTGACAGAGGGTGACACCCAAGGCCAGCCCCTCCCCAGGAAGCCCAGCTGTGCTCAACAGCAGCCTCGTCCTCGGGTCTGCTCTCCTGGGGTCGGTCTCCCCCAGGATGTGGTGAGCTCACCAGGACGCCATCCCCGCCCCCTGCCCCCAGCAGGCCCTGTGCAGTTATAAAGGGTGTGCACTGAACAACCATGTGCTGGGGAGGGGGCACCATCCCACAGGGTGGCTCTGCAGCACCCGCAGGCTCCCAAGACACACACCTGATGGACAGGTGGACGAGGCGGTGGCCAGCGACAAGCAGAGCTGACCTCCTAATGCCACGGGGCACTGCAGCGGCCACTCGGGGCCCTCCCTACGTCCACAGTGCAGGCTCTAAACCGGCCCAGGGGACTGGGGCAAATCGGCTCGCGTCCCCTGGGAACCTGAGACTGGACCCGCGGTAGAGTGTGCCCCAGGGAATCAGTGTCCCCCCTTCACCCTCTTATTCGGCACGTAACCACGCAGCCACCCTGCCCTGGCATGTTCTCGGCCCTGGGGACGCAGAGGTGCACAACAGCCGCCCTGAGACCCGAATTCCAAGGGGGGAGAGCCAGCCCATGGAGAGCGGGTCACCAAGGAAGCCGGGACGGAGCGGGGACAGCACAGGGACAGCTCGGCAGGAAGATGCCGCGCGCGYCTCCCAGACACCCGAGCCCAGGAAGCCGTCGGTCCAGGGACGTCCCCCAGGGCCCTCAGAGCCGAGCCTAGACCGCGGGGCGGCCGCCCTCAGAGCAGGCACCTCCGGGCTCCTGTTGGTGCCAACGTCTCTTTGCTCAAGAAGGTTCTGGAACTCAGCCCAGACCCGGGCCAGCAAGGCCGGCCTCCCTGACGCCTCGGTTTTGACCAAAAACGGAGCTGACCGGCGGCCCGCCCAGCCTGGACRGCCAGCCCAGCTCCCAAGGTCCTCCACCGCCAGAAGAGGGCAGCTGCCAGGCCTGGCCGTCCCCAGGAGGGGCTCCCGCGGCAGCTGGGCATCAGAAGGAGCCGGCGGGGTGGGGGAGGGGCAGGGGCAGGGGCAGGGAGGGCGGCCTCTCCCCGAGTGTCCCCAGGTCTGCAGCGCGAGTCCCGGGGTCTGCAGCGCGAGTCCCTGGGTCCGCAGCGGGTCCAGACGGACCTCACGATCACAGAGGACTGGGACCAGAGCCACCCGGCTGCTCTCCCCAGTGGGAAGGTGGCCGCGTGGACGGGGCCCCTCTTCACGCAGAGCAAGCACCGGGTCCCCCAGAAACAGGGCAGCACCGCCGCCCATCTCGGCCACCACGCCGAGCGTCCATCCAAAAGAGACCCGCGACCCAACCAGGAAACGTGTCCCCGAGGAGGAGCGTGGGAGGTGGCCAAAGCTAATGGGACGGGGCCTTCGGGGGCACCCTGTTAAGGACGGCTCTGTGTGCCACGCGGCCAGAGAAAAGGAACGGACCCACAGAGGAGCAGGGAGGACCTTCTCTACCCGCTGACACGCTGCTGTGCCAGGAGATCCTGACACTCCGTGGCTCCCCACTGCCTTTAGGCCCAATCCCAAACTCCTGGGGTGCAGACCCTGCAGGACGACCCCCCGCTGCCCTCCCCGGCCCGACTCCCCTGCACACCTGGTCTGGCCGCCCCCGGCCTCCTGCTCGATTCTTAAATGGAGCTCGCGCTGGCCCTGCGGCCCACCCCCCACCACATCTGCCACTCCGGCCAGGCGGGGCACTTTCCTGCACTAACCCCCACCCCCCCGTGGCCACCAGGACACCCCCCGGGCCTCACTGTCGTCCTCCGGGGCCTGGTCCTGCTCGGCGCTGGAGTAGGTACGCAGGAACTCGGCGAAGGCCCCGTCGCGGGCCAGCAGCTCCTGGTAGGAGCCCATCTCGGAGATCTTGCCCCCGCTCATGACGATGACGACGTCCACCTGCGGCAGGTAGCTGATGTTGTGTGTGACCAGGATCCGCGTCTGCGGGCAAAGCGGAGACCCGGCCCGTCAGCACACGCGGGACAGCCTGACCTGGGCGTCACCAGGCCCTGGGTGGCAGAGCTGGGTGGGGAGCCAGAGCCAGGTGACACGGGAGCAGAGCTCGCCGCGGGCCAGACGCTGGGCTTCCTGGGGGACAAAACCAGCCCAGACACTGCCTCAGGCGCCAGGAGCCACACACAGGAGACGGGGAGCTGCACCGCGATGGGGACGCAGCAGGGAGGGCAGGCCCTGCAGGAGGCGGAGGCAGGCTCGGCGGCAGGGCTCCATTCTAAACGGTGTTTGGTACCAGGGATGGAGCCTAGAGGTCCTCACCGCTGAGCCACACGCCAGCCCTGTTTTGTATTTTATTTAGAGACCGAGTCTCGCCGACTTGCTCAGCGCCTCACTAAGTTGATGAGGCTGACCTCCGACTTGCAATCCTCCTGCCTCAGCCTCCTGAGCAGCTGGGTGAAGGCCAGAGGGAGTGTCAGGGGCAGCAGGCATGTGGACGAGGAAAGGCGCTGCGGCGGCAGGACAGCTGCACGCGGCCGTCTGACTTTTGAAGACCTGACTCCCCTACCGCTCCCCAGAAGCCACTGCAAAACCAGCAGGTGGGAGGCCAGGCTCAACCCCAGATCGCAGTAAGGAAGAGGGGAAAGAAGATTAGGAGACAGGATGGGAAGAGTGTGTGTGTGTGTGTGCATGTGTGTGTGTATGCATGCATGTGTGCGTACGTGTGTGTGCATGTACGTGCATGTGGGTGTGCGTGTGTGTACGTGTGTGTATGTGTGTGTGCGTATGTGCACGTGCATGTGTGTGCGTGTATATGTGTGTACGTGTGTGTGCGTGTACGTGCATGTGGGTGTGCGTGTGTGTACGTGTGTGAATGTGTGTGTGTGAATGTGTGTGTGCGTATGTGCGTGTGTGCATGTGTGTGCGTGCATGTGTGTGCGTGTGTGTACGTGCATGTGTGTGCGTGTATATGTGTGTACGTGTGTGTGCGTGTACGTGCGTACGTGTGCGTGTATGTGTACATGTGTGTGTACGTGCATGTGTATGCACATGTGTGTGCGTGTGTGCGTGTGTGTGTGCGTGGGTGCATGCACACATATATCTCTGCACACTCTGCTTTGGTCACCATGTGCACGGGTTCCTTTGAAAAATGTTAAAAAAAGAAAACACGTTAAAAAGTTAAGAGTTGGCACAGAATTTTGGCGGCAGCCCAGGGGGTGCTCCTGACAGGTTCGGCAGCACGGCACCCGCCGTCCTGTGCACGTGTGTCACTGTAACCCTACTGAAAAGTCCACGCGCCCAGCAGAATGACCCAGGAGGACCACACAGGTCTCGGGGCGGTGGCGTCATGTGACCGCCCTGCTGTCCCTGTCCCTGTCCTGTCAGTAGCTCTCCGTGGAAGCGTGTGCCCCTCCCCCACTGCCCTTGAACCTCGGGGCCGGGCTGGTCAGTGGAGAGCGTGGCCTGGCTGCGCGAGGCCCTGGGCTCGAGCCTCCGCATCTTGTAACGATAAATAAAGGCTGGAAAAATAATTTTTTTTAAAGGAAAACCCAGCACGTTGAGGCTGCTGTGCGGTCCTCAGGTGYGGTGGCCATTCTCCTGCTGCCCCCAGACAGGGAGGGCAGTGTRGCCTGTCAGTCCTGGGGGGTCGTGGGGGCCGCCCAGGAGCACACTCAGCCCTCGAGAGAGAAGGGTGTGGTGCCCCGCAGGCTCCCAGGGCCTGAGGAAGTGCCCAGGGCCAAGCAGAGAGGCAGCCGCCAGATACAGGGACAGCAGGACAGGCCCCACCCAGGACAGGCCCAACACAGGGCAGGCCCACCACAGGACAGACCCACCACAGGGCAGGCCTCGCCACAGGACAGGCCCATAGCAGGACAGGCCCAACACAGGACAGGCCCACGGCAGGACAGGCCCCACCTCAGGACAGGCCCACGGCAGGACAGGCCCAACACAGGACAGGCCCCACCGCAGGACAGGCCCCACCGCAGGTCAGCCCCGCCAGGAGCCCCCCGCAGGCCGCCCTCCCTCGAGCAGCACCTTGCCCCTCAGCATCCCCTTGGGGCCGACCACGTTGTCGAAGATGTGCCTCCCGACGTGCGCGTCCACGGCGGAGAGCGGGTCGTCGAAGAGGTAGACGTCGGAGTCTCCGTACACGGCCCGGGCCAGGCTCACGCGCTGCTTCTGGCCACCCGACAGGTTCACGCCCTGGGGGACAACGCAGAGGGTGGGTCCCGGAGAAGCCCCAAGACTCAGGGGGCCACCCGCTGGGTGCTGTCAGGCCACGGGGCTGTTTCWGCGTGAGACAGGGCAGGAGCGCCCTGGGTCCCACCAGCAGCCCCCCAAAGACCAAGGATGTGACTGTGGGCGCCAGGGTGGCCCCACCTGGAAGGTGGGCGACAGGGTCGCTGGGCRGGCGCCTGCCGTAGTGAGCGCTCAAGGCAGGCCCTGGATCTTCCAGTCTGGTGGGCGGCACCAGGGGACACAGCAGTGGCGTCACAGTGCGGTGCCCACCRTGGCCAACGGTCCTTGTGGACTTAGATCTGATCGATGGGTCACTGGGGGAGCCACACKGCCAGGGCGGGCTCCATCCTGGGTGCTGAGTCCAGGCCTGGGCTCTACCCGCTGGGAGGACCAGCAGCAGCCTGTGTCCCCACCACAGCTGGCCCAAGGCCATCGYGTGGACACCCGCTGGGTAACCGCCCAGCCCCGTCCTGGGAGACGGCCACTGCTCTCCTGTACTGAGGGGGGTCCTGGCTCAGAGTACTGTCCAGGGCAGACGCTGGGCCCAAGCTGAGCCGGGCACTGTCTCCCTCCACAATGTCCCTAGAGAGGGGCGGTCAGGAGTCGCTCAGGGCCAGATGTGGACACTCTTCAAGAAGGACGGACTGAGAGGCAGAAAAGGAGAGGGAAAGGAGCCGGGCCCTCCCCAGGGCCCCCAGGAGGCCCAGGCCTTGGACCCAAGGTCCCTGATGATAAAGGCAGCGGGTGAGACCAGGGCACAGAGCCCCCTCTCCAGGCTCCCTGGCTGTGTGGCCGTGGCAAGTCACTTAGCCTCTCTGTGCCTCTTTCCTCAACCACTAAATGGGGAAGAGAGCAAACCCCACTCCTGAGCTTGCTGTGAGGATAAAATGGGCAAGAAATGTCCAGCCTAGGGCCTGGCGCRTGGGCAGTGCCCAGCGTCAGCTACAGCACTGCTCCCATCGCCGCCCTGACAGGGTCTGTGGCCATGAGGAGCGAACATCCCACATCTCATCCTGGCAAGGAGCTTGGTGGACATGTGACCGTGACAGTGCCCAGGTGCCCTGGAGCACGGCCTCCCGGGGAGCCCTGCCTGGACGGCCATGGCCTGACTCAGGGCAGCGAGGGTTCAATGTGTGAGCCACTAGGACCCCGCAGCTCCTCCTCGGGCAGCCGCAGTCGACGGACCCGGGGGCCAGTGCTGAACTGGACTGACCTTCTCGCCGATCTCCGTGCGGTCCCCGCTGGGCAGGATCTCCAGGTCGGGGAGGAGCGCGCAGGCCTCCACCACCGCGTTGTAGTAGCGCTCCCGCAGCGGGCGCCCGAACAGGATGTTCTCACGGAGGGAGTCGTTCTGAATCCAGGCCTGCTGCGGGACGTAGGCCACCGAGCCCTGCGTGGCGAGGGAGGGGCGAGACAGGGACGGAGGTGACAGACAGCACTGCAGCCGGCCCAGCCCCTGCCAGCTCACCCCCACCAGACGCTTCACCAAGAGGGAAACTGGGGACTGAACCTGGGGACGCTGAGCCACTGRGCCACGTCCCCAGCCCTTTTTGTTTTTTAATTTTGAGACCGGGTCTCGCTCAGTTGCCTAGAGCCTGGCTAAGTTGCTGAGGCTGGCCTTCAAATTGCAATCCTCCTGCCTCGGCCTCCCAAGTCGTGGGGATTACAAGCGTGCACCACGGTGCCCCGCTAAAAGGATTCTGGAGTCAAGGAGTTCCCGGGGACAAGGCCGGGCGTGGGAACTGGAAGCTCCATCTCTGATCTAAACGCTCAGATGAATGATCAAACTGCTGGCTGCGATATCCTAACCGGTAAAAGGCAAAACGTCAGAAAGTCCTGACCCTAAAACCCACGGGCAATTCAGACAAGGTAGGCGCAGGCCACACCAGAGAAACACCTGGAGAAAATCAAGACTTTACGCTTTGAGCACGCCGCCCCCAGGGCAAAACAGCCGGCAAGATAACCGTCTGGCCCACCATTAGCAGTGCGGCTCCAGGGGACAGTGCTGCTGAGCCAGATGGCAGAGCAGATGGCCTCGACGTGGGGTGTCCCTTTCCTGACTCTGACTTCAAAGTCACGACAGCGTTTCTCAAAATAACAGCTGAAGTCGTTAACTCGGACCCACGGCTGGGGGTGCGGTCTCAGGCACCGTGACAGGCGGGCGCCCTGGGACAGCTGCCCAGACGAGGTCCAAGCCTGCTCTCCCTGCARGACTTCTCAGGGTGTCTGCTAAGGTCACCGTCCCTGGTGAGCGGGGCCTGGGGCTCGTGTTCCCCAAACATCCTGCAAGACTTGGGAGCAAACCCGCTGCAGGAGACGGGTGTCAGAACTCAGGGGCTCACTCCACGGCAGGAGAGGAGGCTCCCGGGGAAGAGTCGGCCTGGGAACCCCGGCTCCGCGTCCCGGGGCTCTCTCTGGGGGGTGTCACAGGGCGCTCCGTGCCCTGGTCTCCCGGCCACACCAAGAACTCAGCCAAACCAGACCTGGGACTGCTCCTTTCCTGGGGAGGCCCTGGGGAYGCGCTCCCAGGAGTCACACCGCCAAGGTGCGTTTATGACAGAAAGAGCCACAGYCAAGAGCAAGGTGCAGAGACCTTGGGGCACCAGGGGGGACAGACGGGGACAACGGGCCAGGAGTGCGAGTGTTCTCTGCGCATAGATTGAGCGCCTACTGTATGCAGGCACTGTTCTCAGAGCTGCTGTCCTAAGGGCAGGGAGGAACTGGAAGCAAAATCCTGTCCTTGGCCGGTGGAGGAGAGGCCGGGGGTGGGGAGGGGACGCTGGGGACTGGAGCGAGTCCGTCCTCAGAAGGATCCCAGCCACCAAGCAGAACTAGGACCCGGCCGTGATGGGTGAGTGACGAGGCTGGGGACACTGAGGGTGGGGCCTGGGAGAGCGTCCCCTCCCCTTCCTGGCCTCCGGGAGCCTGGTCAGCGCCCCACCCCTGCGTCCTCTGCGGAGCTCTCCAAGGCCTSGTAAAAGGAGCCGGTTCCTCTCCTTATCACACTCCRAGCTTCCTGCCGGAACCCTGTGGAGAACTGTGGTCGTTTACACATGGGGCAGCTGGAAATGCCGGGGCAGCGGCGAGGGACGCCCAGTACTGGGAGGACAGTCCCCTGGGCCGCTCGGGCAGGGAGTGAGGCCGGAGTCCCCTCCAGGGCTGTGGCCGCTCCGCCACCAGCCGTTCCCCCAACACAACAATAAAGGACACGCTCCGGTCCCCTGGGGCGGCCGGGGGAGAGCAGTGAGAGGGACAGACAGAGGGACGGACAGGGGGAYGGACGGGGGGACGGACAGGGGGACGGACGGGGGCACGGCTTCTGCTCCCCCGCACCCCTTACCTTCAGAGCCACGAGCCCCTCCACCTTGTCCATCTCGGCCAGCAGCGCGGAGAGCAGGGAGGACTTCCCACAGCCCACCTGGCCCACCACGGCCACCAGGGCGCCCTCCGGGACGGAGAAGGTGATGCTGCAAGGACACCACACGTCCAGCCTCAGCCAGCCGCCCCGGCCACCGCGCCGGGCCCCCYGAGCAGGGAGAGATGCGGGGCCACCTCCCCCCACCCAGTCTGCGCCCCAGGAACGGCCCGGGCTCCAGGTGCGAGGCAAAGGCCCCAGGGTGAGGGACCAAGAGCCGAGTCCRGGGACACTGGCCATGCTGTCCCCCGAAACAGGACACCTCCAACTGAGCCCTGGAACGTTCTCACAGGCCAAAGGGAGGGAGGGGGTGAGTGGAGGAAGGTCTGSGGTCCCCGGGCAGCAGGGGCTGGCACAGGGGGCCCTGAGACTGGAGGAGGGCAGGAGGGCCCAGCACAGAGGAGCGTGGAGCAGGGGAGATGGGCAGGTAGGAAGGCAGGAGGGACTCAAGTTACACCTAAGGAGGGACTTCCTAGACCACGGGTCTTCCGGCAGACGTGGTTGGGGAGTCCTCAGAAGGGCCTGTCCCCTGCCTGATGAATGGCAGCTCCAAGCTGACCCCAGTCAGGGACAGCTGTTGGGGGCACAGGGGGAAATCTGGCCTCTTCAAAGGTCCCTCTGGCCCTGGGTTTTGGGGGCTCCCTAAAGAGGCTGCTGATCAAGGTCACCAGTCGGGAGGGGACAAGGGGCACCTGACAGTTGCCCGGGGACGGGGCCCTTCCCGACAACGACCCTGGTGTGGAGTGAAAGACAAGGGCAGGTGGGCAATGCTGGGGGGGGGCTGAGGCAAGACCGCCCTGGACCAGCCTGGTCACTCCCCTGCCTCTGCCCTGCAGACCCGTGACTGGCTCAGGGAGGGGTGGGTGACATGATGGGGACCAATGAGAGGCAGGTCCCCTGGAAGCCCTGCCCCAGAGCTGGGGCCTCTGTCCGCACACTCTTCTCAGAGTGCAGCAGCCCAGAGGGACGCGAGGCCAAAAGGGGGACAGAGTTCTGGTGGCCCCGTGTGAGACCCTGGATCGCACCATACCTGAAAGTGGAGCTACTCAGCTATGGGAACCCCAGATTCCCCTGTCGCCCGCCTGGGCAAGGGTGCCACTGCTCACGATGAGAGGCGCCCCTCGGTGCTAGGCACCCTCCTGTCTGCTCCTGGGGGCAGCCTGAGCCTGTGTGGCTGGACCTGTTTTCCTGATGGGTCCACTGAGGCCCAGAAAGTGACCTCTCAAGGCCTCAGAGGCGGCGAGCGGCTGGGTTTGCATCCACCTTCGCCCACGGCGCTCTGCCCACGTGTGCCCAGGCCCCCACCTGTTGAGYGTGGCCGGCTCGCCCCTGGCCCAGGTGAAGCTGGCGTTCTCCACGGTGATGCTGTTCGTCCCCCTGCCTGGAAGACACCCGAGGGCACAGTCAGGCGGGGTGGCGTCCCGAGCAGAGCGCTCTCCTTCCCATTGGTGGTCTGACCTCGGACGCTGGACCCCAGGGCCCCTGGCTGCGTCTAGAAAGGTCATGGRCTCTCTGAACAGGACACCAGGCCCCAGCTCGGGAGGAACCTCCAGAGAGGTGGACGCGCCCTCTGGGACTGGAAGCTGGCCCATCCCAACGCCTGCGGGGCGGGGGACCTGGGTCACCCTGCGCTTGGGACCCCTGCCCGCTGTCTCACGGCTTGGGCAGCTCTGGGCAGCAGCCGAGGTCAACGTCCGGCAYGGCACCCWCGGGCCCTTCAGGTCCAAGGTGGGYCTYTGTCCCCACCCCCGCAGCCCCTCCGAGTCCCCGGGATACCCCCTGCCTGCGGGCTCACCGCGCAGGACGCCAGCCACAGTCCGCTCAGGACAAGCAGAGGAGGGGCAGGTGGGCCGGGGTGGGGCCAGGTAGGACAAGCCCCCACAGTGTGGCTTCCAGGGGACCCGGCTCTGGCCAGTGGTCATCTACCCTCCCCCGCTCTCTGTTTACGCCCGTCTCCCTGGGGAACGCCTCTTCACCAGGCGCCACCTTAAACCTCTGGGGATAAGAGCGTCCCCCGCAGTTGTCAAGCTTCCCGGGAGGAAGCTGTTGGGGTTTTCCTTAGTTTTTGTGTGACTCTGGGGCGGACCCAGGGCCTCTGCAGTGCCACTCAGGGGCTCTTCCCAGCCTTGGAAGCCACCGAGGACCCTGGGACCTGGGCTGCCAAGGTGGTCGCAGGGACCGTGGCGGACACCCCAGGGAGCMGGAGGGCCGCGTGGCCCTGACCAGGGACCCTGACCCTTGCAGAGGCCGAGAAGGACATCAGTGCAGGAAACGGCCCTGGCCACTCGGGTCAAGGCCCGTTTCACAGAGAACCATGGCCCCGGGGGAGCCCGTGGCCTTGCCCCCACCTCCTGGTGGGACGCCTGGTGCTCAGGGGCAGGGAGCAGGATGCCAGCACCCGCGGGCAGCGGCCCTCCGCAGGGACACCTCAAGGGACATCAGAGATCACTGATTGTCAGAACCGGGGTGGGAGCTGCCCCATCTAGTGGGCATGGCCAGGAGCACGCTGGGCACCGCGACCGTCCTCATGGGGAGGAGCCAGCAGGCCCAGGCRTGACCGAGGGGAGCGCAGACTCCTCCAACCGCTGGGGCTGGGGCTGGGGCTGGCCCCCGACTTCCCCGAGGGCGGAGCCGTCTAGTTACGCAAGCCGCTTCCTCCTCTGCAGGAGTTTCCAGCGGCCCCACTGCCCGGGCCGCACTGAGCACTGGGAGAACRTGCCCGGCAGGGACGTCACAGAGTGATGGGGTCACTGTGGCTGGTGCCGCTCATAGGCCACCAAGTTCCCAYGGAGACGGCCGCACACAGGATCCCTGCTCGAGGGGACTGGCGGGAAAGTGTCCTGTGTCCACKGTCCACAGAGGGAGCAAGCCCACAGGGACACACCGTCCAGAGGGGGAACGGGGGCTCAGGCCCACAGGACACAGCTGGGGGTGGGGACACGGCCACTTCTCCACCCACAACAGAACCCAGCTCCAGGGCCTGGAACCTGACGGGGAGTGACCCGAGGCCACCTCCCAGGGAGGAGCAGAAGAGCAAGTCCGAGGGCCTGGGGCGGGAGATAAGAGGGGCCCGGGGGACTCCAGGAGGTGGCCCCCGCTCTGGCCCCGCTCGCGGGGGTCTCGCAGGCAGGCCGCTGTGCACGACCCAGCACCGTGGACCCACCGTCCTTGAGTGGCCTGCGCTCGATGCTGCCGGGCTCCAGCTCCTCGTGGGAGAGGAAGATCCTCAGGCGTTTGAGGGAGACGCTCGCCTACGTGGAGGCAATCACAGGGCGTCGTCACTTTCACAAACGCGGCCAGGCTGGACCTCAGCGGCTGCCCCGGGCGGGCGGGGAGCCCACGTCCTCCCCCTCCCCCAGGGCAGCTGCACAGCCAAGAGCAAGAGGGGCCTGGGMTCCTCCTGCCCCTCAAGAGCCACAGAGGCAGTAGGACGGAAGGACGGAAGGACGTGGGGACAGGAGAGGCCCTCGATAAAAAGGGACTCCAGGGACCTGACCCCCGAGGCAGGAGGCAGGAGGCCGGGCCTCCCCSGACTCTCACCAGGGCTCCCAGGGCTCGCCCCTCCCCCTGCAAACCCCAGGGACAGTGTTATTTTAAGTGGCGGTTGGCAGCCGCGGTTGGCAGGCGTTTGGAAGGACAGTGGTGCTGGGACTGCGTCAGGAGAAGGGCAGGCCGTGTGCAGGGCCCAGGGGGAGGCTCTGAACCCGCAGAGAATCCTTCAGCCAAGAAGCAACAGGGGGTGAGGGGGAGACACGGGGCTGGGGGCCCCGGGAACACGCCTGGGGGACACTGTTCCTCGAGGTCCCTCCTCACGGGCAAAGCCTACGACCAGAGCGGCACAACCCCATCTCCGGGGTGACCCGTTTGTGGGGTRAAAACGGGATTTAAGTGGATTGGCACACAGTGAAGGGGGGAAGTGGCGGAGGGGCAGCGGGGATGCAGCAGGAGCGTGTCCTCTGYCCGCGGGGCACTGGGGGGCCACCACGGGACCCCGGGGACCTGCAGGGCCAGGGGAGGGGGCTGGAGGGGCTGAGGCCTATGGGGGGGGTCGTAAAATCAATCAAGCGGGTCCAGGGCTGCAGTTTAGGAGGAGACAGGCTAGGCCAGGGCGGGAGAGAATGTTCCGGAAAGGCCCCCCAGAGCTCGGGAAAGCTCGCTGCTCAAGCCAGGGCTCGGTCAAGAGCACCAGGGGACGCTTCCTCTGGGGCCCAATGGAAATGGTGGGGCGGCTCGTGTCCGGGCCTCGTCCAGCCCCCGGAGCCCACGGGAGCGCAAGGCAGGTCCTGAGCTGCGGGGAGGACGGCGCCCGGTACCTGCACGATGCTGCTGATGACCATGGGYAGGATGTTGAGCGGGAAGCGGAGGATGTTGAACAGGGCCAGGGACACAAAGGCCTTCTGCGCGTCCAGCACGTTGTTCTTGTCCACGGTCACGTAGACGGCGAAGGTCGACAGGGCCACCTGCAGCAGGGCCCCGGAGCTGAGCAAGAGGCAGGCCTTCCCCGGGCGCAGACGCACGGGCAGCGCCTGGCACCAGGCAGCGCTCAGCCACCCCCCAAGGACGGACCAGGGCAGCCAGTGACGGGGCCGACGCCCTGGCCTCCCACCAGCTGGGTCGGGGACGAGGCACCTGCGGTCACTGCTCAACCCCAGGCGCGTCCTTTCTGCCTGGGCCTGCAGCCCCCTCTGCCTGAGGCCACCTCGCCATCTCCAGAACAGCCTGGTCACTCCCTCTCGGCCTCCAAGAGCTGCGCCCACCCCGGGCCCGGGACAGCCCTGGTGTGCTGCCTCCCGACCCTGGTCCTCGGGACACCTGCCAGCACCTGGGCAGTGACGCTACATAGTCGCTGTCTCCTACGCGGAAACACCAGCTCCTTGAAGGGCCTAGACCCACCCCTGGTGCTTAGGGACCCTGAGGACAACTACGATGGCTCAGCCGTGAGGAGTCCCACTCCCCTGTGCTGTCAGTGCAGCCACCTCAGAGTGAGGACTGGGCAGCGAGAGCTGGATCCCCAGCAGCCCGTGCTGGGTGGCATGGACTATGGCATCRTTGACCCAGGTGGTGACTGTGGGCAGGGGGCTGCAGGAGGGGGTCACTGGGGGCTGCCCAGGGAAGGTGCCTCTGCCCCGCAGCCCCGTCCCCTCCTCCCCTCGGCTTCCTGACCTGCGTGAGCTGAGCACCTCTCCTGCACCGGGCGCCCCCACGACGGCTGGCTGCCTCACCCCGGGCCCAGAGCAACRGAGCGGGCCGGACTGAGACCTCAGAACCGGGAGCCCCAGATCACCTTCCCCTCCTCTAAGTTGCTCCTGTCTGGCATTTTGGTCACAGTGATGCAAAGCTGACTGAYGGCACGACCTTAAGTTCACTTCCTCTCCCAGGGACTCAGATGTCTGGTGTGTAAAAYGCAGAGGGCAGATCCAGGGGCTGCCTCCAGGTCCTTTGGCTTATACAGGAAATGACTCAACGCCCGGCAAAAGGAACGTTTAAAGAGAATWAAAAAAAGGAACCCAACAGCCCAGGCCGGGTCCTGGGGAAGCCCTTCCTGTCCCCACCTACACAGTCAGACTCGCCCACGGCCGGCTGCTGCCACCCCCAGCCATGCTCTAAGGTACCTGCCTCCACTTTTTGGTTTCGTGTCTCTCAAGACCTCCCCCTTGTTGCTCTGGGTGACGGGGTTAGGCTTCTGTCCAGGCTCCTTCAAGCCTTCCCTCACTCCTCTGCAGATTCACGAGGGTGCACATGTGCCAMGTCCCCGGCTCTGCAGACACAGCGTAAGTGACGACAGAGACTCGCCCGTGGGATGACACAGGTCACACTGGAGGAGCACAGGCGAGGCGCCCACCAACCTCTGAGATGGAAAACGCTGAGCGCCCACCGCGGCTGTTTTAGGACAGTGCATGAGGGGGACGTGAGAGATGCCAGGTCCCGGGGCCCCCAGATGGCACCCCCAGTGGCCCTGGCCTCCCGGGCCTGGCTTCCGTCACCCACTGCCGGGTAAACACGGCGTCACCCTTGAAGCGCAGGAATCCGCCGTGGAGAGCCCCGCGGGCCCGCAGTGCAGGCCACAGACTTTGTCCTAATGCAGTCAGAGCCCAGTGCTCGGGCAGGGCCGCGGCCCCCAGCTGACCCCAGGCCCGTCCACTCCTTCCTGCCCCAGCAGCCCCACAACCTCCGTCCCTCAAAGCCGGGGCCTCCACCCTGCCCCACCTGCCCCGAAACCAAGAGGCCAGTTCAGGGTCAAGGACGGCCACTTATGCTGTCCAGCGTCTTTCCCCGGAGCCCAGGGCAGGAAGTGACAAAGCGGAGGCCGGCATGCACTCAGGTGACACCCTGGAAACCACAGGTTCTGCCTAAGGCCAGGCAGAGCCAAGGGTCATGAGAACCCCCACACCAGCGCTTGTCACCCCCCCTACCCCCGTGCTGTCCTCAGCAGCACGACTTCTGCACCCTGTGCAGTCGCAGCAGGAAGGGAGASGAGACAGACCACCGTCAGGACTGACGCACCGCGGCACATGGTGCTCTGGAAACGCTCCCGAGGAGCTGGTGGGGGCAGGGCCTTCACCAGGGACCTCTGGTTCCCAGCTCGGGGTATTCTGCTCCCAAGGGGACATCGGCCAACATCTGGAGACACTTCTGATTGTCCCAGCTGGGGAGCGCGGGGCAAGGGACTACTTGACACCCAGCGGGCGGGGACGCTGCCGCCATCCTGCCCTGCTCGGGAAACAAAGGGGACTGGGCCAGTGTCCACCGCACGGAGGCTGAATGCTGCCTGTGTGCAGGCCATCTGGAGTCCGGGGTGCTGACCTCGAGCGCTTCTTCCTGCCTTTTAAGCATATGCTTGGCCGAGCTCAGGGTGGGGTGTCGGGGGCTTGTTAGCCTGGGGCAGGCCCCGGTTCCATCCCCACGCTATGACACGGTGACAATGCACAACTTATCACAATACAGAAGGGAGTACCTCCCTTGGGCATGATGCACGGACTCTAATGCCAAGAAAAGTAACAAAACAAATCCCCTGTAACAGGGTCCACCATGACGTCACTTTAAACTTCAGAGAGGTCCCTCCGCCCGCCCCACCCAGCCAGGGCAGCTGAGGGACGGAAACGCAGAGGGGACCCCACAGCACGCCTTCCAGGCCTGGGCCCAGAGGACCTGGGGGACCCAGAGTCCCAGCACACACAGGGAGGTCCCCTCTTGGGCGGGTACCAACCCACTGGTRTGGCCCGGGAGGGCTGTGGACCCTAACTCGGGGGAAAGTCCGTCTTGATGGACGGACGTCGGCCGTGAGGCTGGGAGGGTGGGACGTGGCCTGGTTCCCGGCCCCTGTGACTTAACGYCGTCCTCCATCCTGAGGAGGTCCAGGGCCAGGGCGGGCCTCGGGTTACACCTGAGCTGAGGAGGAGTGCGGCGGGTGTGCAGACGTGGAGAAGAACACTCCGGTCCTCCCTGCGATTCTAAATGCCTGGCAGTGCCGACACTGCCCGCCAGTCCAGGCCAACACTGCCCGCCAGTCCAGGCCAACACTGCCCACCTGTCCAGGCCGACACTGCCCGCCAGTCCAGGCCAACACTGCCTGCCTGTCCAGGCCACCTTTGCCCGCCAGTCCAGGCCAACACTGCCCGCCTGTCCAGGCCACCTTTGCCCGCCAGTCCAGGCCGACACTTCCTGCCGTCCACCGACCGGGCACTCGGCCGGCCCGGCGGGGCCCAGACGGCACCAGCAGCATCTGGAAGTCAGAGTGCCGGCATCAGGCCCTGCCCCGACGTCCAGCTGGACAAGCTGTGTGTGCAGCAGCCTCCAGCCACTCTGAAGGCTCCACCTCAAGCTCTCTGTCCCAGCTCTCCTCAGCTCAGGGGACAGCCGGGGGAGCCCACCAGAGCCAGCGTCGGAACACACACCGCGACAGGAAAGCCTCCTCATCAGGAAAATGTGAGGTTTCAGGTCATAGAAACTTCCAGAAGCCACAGTCACCCCCCGGCATCCACAGGGACGGGCTCAGAATCCCCCATAGATACTGAGGTCCAGGGGTGCTCTAGTCCCTGGTATGAAGGGGCACAGTGTCTGCAGGTAGCCTGTCCATGTCTGCCTGCGTGCACTAGATCATCTCTGGATGCTCAAAATACCTGACAGTAACGTTTAGCTYGGTCACCAGCTGCTATAACTGCACTGTTCAGGGGACAATGACATGGAGAAAGCCCACACGTTCAGCACAGACGCGGTCTTTTTCTCTAAACACATGGCACTGGGGACTGAACCCCAGGGTGCTTTAACACTGAGTCACATCTGCAGCCCTTTTATTTATTTTATCTTGAGACAGGGTCTCACTGAGTTGCTGAGGCTGGCCTCGAACCCGCCAGCCTCCTGCCTCAGCCTCCCGACCCACTGGGATGACAGGCGTGCACCACCGCGCCCAGCTCAGCTAACGCGATTCCTTGTAAGAGAACGGCTCAGGAAGGAGGGCACTGGTTCCTTCACGGGCTKCCCGGAAGCTGTAAAGGGCTGTGCGTAAAACAGAAGGGGCTGGGGGTGCGGCAGCTGGCGAACAGGTGACTGGGGAGACTCCCCGAGACAAGCAACCTTTRAAGAACACTGGACCCAGGAGCAGCCGGCCCCACTCACCAGGAACGGGGTGCAGACCCAGGTGAAGGTGCCCACGGCCGCCAGGTAGGCGGACTTCTTGAGCACCTTCAGCTCCTCCTGCCGGATGGCCATGACCTTGTCCTTGAAGGCCAGCTCCCAGGCGTAGAGCTTCAGCACCTTGATGCCGTTGAGGATCTCGTTCATCAGCTTGATCCGGTTGTCCTTGCTCTTCATGTGGGCCACCTTCACGGAGAAGGGTGGTCAACACCGCACCGGGGACGGGCCACGCGCCCTGACCGCCACCCACCACATGGCCATCCCCCGAGACCACGCCACAGGACCCGCCCTGACGTGCTTCAGCCACGTCCCATGGCCTTTAGAGAAGGCCACTCRAGTCAACCGAGGAGCAAAGGGGCAAACACCCCCCGGTGGCCAGAGTAGAAGGGACGGGCCCCCTCGGCTGATCCAAACACGGGGGACCCTTTTCCTATTTTTAGGCAGTTCGTGGTTGGTACTGCTCTGACCAGCAGGGGCCCGTCTCAGCTTGTCACCTGCCTGGCTCTGTCCTCCCTCCTGGGGCRGGGAAGCCGCCCAGGGCCTTTGCGTGAGAGGCCGGTGCTCACCACGGTCCACCCAGCTCCCGCCAGGCATTTCTTCTGAGCGTTTCACAAGTGCTCAGCAATCTGCTGCTCACACAGACCACCCAGGCAGTGCCAGGTCACCCTGGGTCACGTGGGGGAGCCTTCAGCAACACAGAAGGGTCCCCGAGGAGAGTGTGGAGCTCTAAGATGGCACTGCCCCAAGGACATGCAGTGGTCACAGCCCGAGAGCACACGGACACCACCAGGCCTGACTATGTGGTTAATGAGGTGTGCATATGAATGCAGAGACAGTTCTAGAAGGTTCTGTGTCCGTGTGCTCACAGCGGCTGAGAGGGAACAGGGCATCCCCTCTAATCCCTCTAATCCCTGTTATGGGAACTATTTTGTAACAAGAAAGCACTCRCTCTGTTATTGTATGTTTAAAAGCTTAAGGAATACACCCTCCTGTCTCTAAAAGCCAAGTTGAGCGCTGTGCAGAGGGTCTTTGCTACTTGACTCTTGCAAACACATAATACAAGAAATGAGCAGCTCTATGATAAAGGACGCCCGGAGCCCACTCGGCCTGTCTTAGGAGCTCTCCCGGGCWGCCCAGGACCACCGGGGAGCCTTCCCAGCGCCCAGCGCCCAGCGCACTTGGTGAACAGAGCCCCAGGAAGGAGCCCGGGCAGCAGCATTCACAAAGCTCCCGGGCGAGTCCCACGGCAGGTGGGGCTGAGAGCCCAGGGCCCGCGCAGAGTGACCTGGCCAACGTCCCTGCAGACAGGCCGCGGCCAGGTCCACCTGCGGCATCAGACACCCACCTGGTAGGTCTTGGTCTTCATGGCCATCACGGCGTTGAAAGGCACCATCAGGACCATCACGKCCACCCCGGCCAGGACAGAGGGGCCCAGGTTCTGGGGAGACAGAGACAGCCCGGGCTCAGCCAGCAGCAGAGAGCAGGGCCTGACCCTCGTCCGTGGCCGTCCACCCCCACACGGGCMGTGAGTTCTGGGCAGGTGTTTTCCTTCTTCTCGGTGATGGGGTGTCGGGAGTCGGCCGCCGCGAGGTCCCCCCACCTCTTTAGAAGATGCAAGTCTGCGAACCAGTCCTTGGGGCCGGCCGGGTTTACAACTGCAGAACGGATTTTCTTCCTTCCTTCCCTCCTCCATCCCTTACCAGGGACTGAACCCAGGGGCACTTTACTAACACTGAGCCACATCTCAGCCCTGTTTAAAAATATTTTTACTTGGAGACAGGGTCTCACTGGCTGGCTTAGGGCCTCAYTAAGGTGCTGAGRCTGGCTTTGAACTCGCGATCCTCCTGCCCCAGCCTCCTGAGCTGCTGGGAGGACRGGAGTGGGCCACCGTGCCCGGCTGGAACTGTGGACCTTTGAGAAGAGACTAAGGAACCGGGCAGAAAACAGTGCGGCTGGCCTGGCCGCTYGTCCGGCTCCGAAGGCGCTTACCAGTCCGGCTGGTGGCTGGGGTCTCGGAGCCTGAATTCTAGGAGGGGGCTCACACCCAGCACGGCGCACGGTGAACCCGTTCTCCTCCTGGGAGCCTGGAGCTTCGGTAGGCACCAGACAGGGGGCGCCTCCGTGGCCAGCTCCTGGTGAGACCCCGTGGGACAACACCTCCCACCTCTGATCCTCAACTGCTGGTGGGGAACAAGAGCACCCGGGGGACCCCGCGGGGAGAGGGCAGCTGGCTGCTCCCCTGGACCTGACCCTTGGCACCGATGTCCTTTGTTATTGGGCTGCAATAAACCAAAGCCCTGGGTACGACCATGGGCTGATCTGGGGAGGGGTCGACAAGAGGTGAGAGATGTTCTCGTGGCCCATCTGCAGACCAACTGTCCCAGAAAAGTGGTCAACAGCTGAGAGGAGACACAGAGCTGCGTCTTCCAACCTCCTTCCAAATTTCTTGTGCAAATCAGGAGACACCTGAGCTCACAGCCCCGAGTGCCTCTCCTCAGCGGCACCACCCCTGGAGCTGCAGGGCGGCGTGACCGCGTTCCCTTTCGACGTCAGGACGACAGCAGCCTCGTTAGCTCAGCCAAGTGTCCACCCTCCTCCACTCCCAGTTCTAGGGAAGTGCTGTTGTCGATCCACCCCGTATGAGGACACACCTCAGCCGCGGAAACTACTCGGCCCTCAAGGTGGAAGGTGACGCCCTCCCGTAACCGAAGCGGCAACTCTGAGAGCAAATATCAGTAGCCAAAGTGTCCCTGCACCTCTCCCTGCCAGGCCCCACTCTAGAACAGAGCCTGCGTGAACGATCATCTGCCCCAAGAGCCCCTCCATGAGAGGCCACGGTCACCGTGGATCTAGAGACGGAGGAGGAGAGGACATCGAGAAACACTCCCAAGGTCCCAGAGTTGGAAACAGAAGAGGCACGATTTGAACCCGGGCAGCCTGTTCCGGGCCTCTACTGGGTTTATGTTGAAGAGAGACCCTACTGCGGTCTCGAGCAGGGACACCCCTGTCCTCAAGACACCCGGCCACCTCGGGGGGCACTCTTCACCATCACAGTGGGGTGGGGTGCCACTGCCCCCCGTGAGGTCAGGGCCTACAGCCCACAGCTCCCCTGCCCCGATGCCCCGAATGTCACCGGCCCCGGTCGCAAACCACCACCTCCAGCAAGAGGCGGCGGGAAGCCGTTTTCCCAACGGTTCATAAACCAGTCCTGAAGGCAGCACTCAGAGGGGCGTCCCGAAACACCCCGACCCCCAGGAGGGCCTGCAGGAGCGGAGAAGCCCCAGGCATCTGCCCGGAGGTCATTTAGAGACAGAGTCTGGCGTGGGAGGCTGGGCGCGTGGCTCATGGTCCAGCTGTGGGAGCCCTCCGTCCTACCCCCAGCTCTGAGAAAGGGAAGAGGCTCGTGTGTGTGTTTCTTTGAAGTTTCATTGTGACAAAGACGTCATTCACTTTTGCTCTCTGTAGCCACAAAAAGTGGTCAATTAAAGTCAAATTGACAGATAATCTGGGGGTCCCTACTGTGTACCTGGCCTGGAGTTATACCCCGAGATATAAACACAGGTTAGATGCTGTATGCCCGCACACACACGCGTGCACACACGTGCACACACGTGCGCGCGCACACACACGCACGCACACACGGCCGACTTGGTGGCCTGAGGAAGGGGCCGTACCTCAGGTGACTCCTACTCTAAAGCCCCTGGGATTCAGCAGAGGAAAACATCCAGCTCCCGGAGGAGGAGGGCCTGCGTCAGGCAGGACAGGAGCCAGGGCCCGAGGAGGGCGGAGACCAGCTGGCAGAGGGGGGACTCCCGGCGGAAGGAGGGGCCTGGGCAGGGCCAGAGGTGGGGAGGGACGGGGCGGGCGTCGGGCCTCGGGCCTCGAGCCTCGAGCCTCCAGGCTCCACAGCTCTGCCCTCAGGGAGCCCTCTGTCCAGGTGGACAGACTCCTGTTCCACAACGGGAGGGCCCACCCGAGGCAGGCTGGCCAGCCAGAGGCCTCTCCCTCCTGGGCCGCAAGAGGTTCAGGGACGGGGACAGGACTGTGCAAGGCAACTGGAATGCCCCAGGGACACGGGGAGGAGGCAGAGCCATGCAGGCTTCTCTGCTCTGGCCCTGCTCTAGGTGAACAAGGTACAAGGCCGAAGCTGCCTGGGGAATCCCACTGAGAACAAAGAGGAAAAGGGGCCAAGAAACAGTGACCGTGGGAGAGAACCGAGTCCTTCAAACCCTGCTCCATCTCCTGGATCCATCCGTGCCTGAAGACAGATCCCGGGACTTTTCAGGTCTGGCTCACCCCCAAACGCCYTTGGTTTGCTGATGTAAAGATGGACTCCTGGGAGATCCACACCCGGGGAAGTCCACACCTGGGGAAATCCTGACCAACACCACTGGGCACTTATCAGGGACTCTGGTCACATCTGAGAGGATACGGGGGAGGAACAGGCGGGCATGTTGCAGGGTTGTCAGTCACACACACCGTCAAGGGGAGACAAATGCGCACACACCCCGTGCCATCAAAGAGGACATGATCCCCACAACTCGGGGACAGCAGGAATGTCCAGGAAGGGGTTCGTGGGCCAGGAAACAACACATCAATGACAGCAAGCGGGACCGCTGAGCTGTGGCGGCTCTTATCAGACACCCCCTCCCCCGGGCACTTGAGGGGACGACGCGGAYACCCACCAGCCACAGGAGGTAGAGGGCCAGGATGACCTGCAGGGGGGCCGACCAGATCATGTTAATGTACGTGGCCAGGTCCATGAAGCGCTGCGCGTCCACGGACATGAGGTTGACGATCTCCCCGACCGTGGAGGACTTGCGGGCYGCGTTGGTGATCACCAGGGCCTGCGGGGGAAGCAGAGGTGGGGGTGAGCAGGTGAGGGCCCCCGGCTGGCCCAGCCCCGGACAGGACGGGACACTACCCCTCTCCTCCCGTCTCCCCAGCCCCTCTGCCTCGCGAGGGCCACGCCGCTGCCCACGGCCCTCCTGGACCTGGCCAGGCCTGTCTGCCTCCCGTCTTGGGCTCTTCCATGTGCCCTCCGGGGCCCTCCACAGCGGGCTCTGCACACGTGTGTGGCCACACACATGGGGTCAGCAGGTCTGGGCGGCCCGAGAGTCTGCGTTTCTAACAAGCTCCAAGGCCAGGCTGAGGCGGCTGGTGTCCGATCCCCAGCCAAGGGCACCAGGTCCCTCAGAGTGGCCCTCCTGACGGCCAAGGCTGAATCAGCCTCCTGGGGCTGTCCAGGGTGAGGTGGGCCCTTAGCAGCCTCCTTCGCCTCTCACCACTAAATGCCTCCCCCACACTGTGACAACCCGATGTCACCAGATGCTGCCCAACATCCCTGGGGAGTGGGCACAGGGCTACAGCGAAGCCTCCCTGGTCCAGGCCCCGGGTTCCCGCACCGCCCACCGCCCACCACCCGCTGCCCACCGCCCACCGCCCACCGCCCGAGGAGTCTGAGGAACGCTAACTCCTGCCCCACCTCCCTCGGGACGCTGCTCTGCTGGCCAAGGTGCAGCCTGGCGGGAGGCCTGAGCCCCCCAGGTGAGTCCTGTTTGCAGACAGGGATGGGGACCCCAGGCCCAGCTGTCTCCCTAGTGACCTGTCTCCCTAGTGACACAGCCCCCGCCCCAGGGGCTAAGAAGTGGGGACGGGAAGAAAACAGGGTTCCTTTCCAGTCTGACCTGGGGGCCGGGACGTGGCTCAGCGTCTGGCCCGCACCAGGCCTGAGCTCCACCCAGCTCCACACGCAAAAATAAACATCTAAGAAGCCGGACTGCACAGGTGCCGGCCAGGCTCGATCCTGCAGGAACCGGCCCCCTAGGTTCCACCAAGGGAGAGAACACGGGCAGCCACAGGGGACCAGGAGGCAGCCTGGCAGCCCCACGTTGAGGACCGGCAGCCCGCCTCCCCGGCACAGGTACCCACAGTGACAGGCACAGGTACCCACAGCGACAGGCACAGGTACCCACAGTGACAGGCACAGGTACCCACGGTGACGGGCACAGGTACCCACAG